ACAATAATGACTTCAATAACTTTAGAATGCACCTAATCTGAATGTTTCTCATGCTCAAAGAAAAATAACCAGAGAATGGTATCTGCAAACAATATTTAGTTTATTTCTTTTTCTTTTAAATTGAAATCAAAGGCTGCACACAGAAACACCTGTGTAGAGGTGTTTAGAGTAGTTTGGCACTGCTTTTATAATGGCTCTGAAAATGAAGCCTGAAAAAAATAATGGTTTGCAAAAGTGGCACAATAAAAATAAAATGTGATGAAAGTATTTATGAAATAGAATGTTCCAATTAAATGATATGTTTCAGCATGTTTAAGCAGAAAATTTTTATTACCACTCTTCATTGAAAAGCTTACAAAAGTTATTAGTCCATCCCCCTCCTTCAGTAACTGGGATATCAAGATTACAATGATACTGTGTTTGCCAGGAGCCACAAATTCAAAAACTTTTTTTTTTAATTTAAAAAAAAATATGTTTTTTATTTATTTCTGAGAGAGAGAGCATGAGCAGGGAAGGGGCAGAGAGAGAGGGAGACACAGAATCTGAAACAGGCTCCAGGCTCTGAGCTGTCAGCACAGAGCCTGATGCGGGGCTCGAGCCCATGACCATGGGATCATGACCTGAACCGAAGTCCAACACTTAACTGACTGAGCCACCCAGGCGCCCCCACAAATTCAAAAACTTGAGGGGCCAAGTACAAAGGCAAAACCAATGAAGCAAATGAAGCAAAGCATATCCAAGCATAGCCTAATATCTAACCTTTATTAATGGCCTCCAAATGGCTTTAGTAGCAGTATTTTCTTGAAAGCTATTTTTTATTAAGTCTTGTAGTATTTGCCCCATTACATTGTATAGTATCACCCAACATCACAGTGAGATAGATATTGCTAGTACCTCCATTTTATAAATAAGAAAATGGGGGCACTAAAGGGATTAGGAGTTAGTCTGTGGTCTCACAGCCATACATAGTAGTGTCTACAGTAAATGCCATGAAGTGTGATATCAGGACATGAGCCCCTACTCACCACTAATCTGGATTTAATAATTACAGAATGGTGAGTGGAAGTCTTTATACATATTAACTCATTTAATCCTCACCATAACTATGAAAGGTAGGTACTAATATTTATACTTGTTTCATAGATATGGAAACTGGATCACAGAAAGGTTACAACAGTTATCCAGTACTACATAGCTAGTAATTACAGAACCAGGAATTAAAGCCCAGGTGGTCTGTTTCCAGAGCCCCTGCTCTTGGTACAGTTCTTAACTGGAGTGATTTTATCCCCTAGAGGACATGTTAATCTTGAGACATTTTGATTATTAACAAACAACCGTGGAAAGCAGGAGATACTGACGTATAGTAGGTAGAGGCCAGGGGTGTTGTTAAATATCCTACAGTGCACAGGACAACAACAGTGTACACACAACACAGAATACATGGCCCAAAATGTCAATAGTGCCACTGATAAGAAATTCTGGTCTATGTGATTACCACTGTGCAACTATGCAAATGGAAAATAATCTATTGCCATAGATGGGGATGGACAACACATAATTTAAAGTCTTCATCTCTAAATAAATCTCTACTTTCATTTTATTTATCTCTTTCTTCTAGAACATGAACTGTAAAAATATAATCCAAATAACTGAGTACTAACAAGACATTGGTCTTTTTGCATCTTATGATGATATTCACTACTACAACTTCTCTATTAGCATATAAAAATTTTTACTATGAAGTTCAGTTTTATGAAGAGAACCTTAAACAGTTCTTTTTTTTTGGTCACTACTTATACACATTATTAAAATTCTCTCATACACTTCTTTACAACTATCTCTTTAACTGGAATTGCTCCCAATGAATCTTTCTTACCTCCTCTTTCCTTCTGACATTTAAAGTTATTTCCCACAAGTCATAGTGAAGGTGTTGGTGAAGAAGAAAAATGTGAAAGGAATCCTTTTGCCCTTAATTACTTAGCAGCTGTCTTGGCACATTGTGTTCCCTTTTCCCTTTTGCCCCTGAAGTGCCTGTTATCTCTATTAATTATTTTCAGAGTTTAGAGAAACAATATGTAATGGGTTGGACAGAGGGGGAGTTAGAGATGAGGAGCACTGACGTCACCAGAATTGGACAGCTGGCTGAGAGGGAGTGTTCTGCTAGTGAAATACAAGACAGAAAAAGATAAAGTATTTAAAAGATAATATGCTTCATGGAGGAGAGGGGAAGGGGCTTCAAAAATGGCCATTAATCCACAGCTCTCCTGTCAACAGTGGTTTATTTAAACATCTGCTAAACATTTGTAATTTTAACAAATCGGCCTCGAAGTAGCTGGAATTTTCTTTTAAAACAGATTTCTTTCTAGGGTTCAAAAAAATGTGTCTTTTAAACTTAAAAATCCAACTGACCTTCTTAATGAGCTTCTGCCCAAACTAGAACCTTCTAGATTTAAATTTTGTGTACTTTTGGTCAATGTGACTTCCTGTTTTTGAAAAGGGAAAAGAGATTAAGAAGGGTCCAAAAGCTGCTTACATTTGGGACTATTCTTTAAATATTGATTTTATGTGGGTTAAGTATAAACTAGTTAAAAACATATGGATTAAATTATCCTTAAAATATGAGTGGTTTTAAAAATTAAGGGGGAATTCTTGGCAAACTGTAATTATTTTTTGTCAAAGTGAAACTATTTCAAAAGTAGTTGTTTCCATTAAAAAAATATTCCCAATACAAATAGATTTGTTGTATCCTTCCTGGAGTTGTTCTCTTTAATTCACCAGCATTATGGAAATTGTCATAAATCTATTTTAAGAGTATACATAGTCTCAGGAACAAGGAATAAGAATTTATCTGGCAGAATTTATATTTTGGGAATTATTTTTCTATTATTTTAAAATTATATTCTTAATAATTGCTCTGGGCAGAATTTTTCTCATGCAAATCCATGTGGTAATACTTCTTTAAACCTCTTCATAAATTAGTTTCATATCACATTTAAATGAAGGTCATGTAAATTTGATTTGTTTTTTACTACAATAGATTATATAGAAATGAGATATATTTGTTATGGTTATTATCTTAGTCTACTGTGTCTGCTGTAACAAAACACCATTAACTGGATGACTTATAAACAATAAAAATTTATTCCATACAGTTCTAGAGGTTGGGATCCAAGATCAAGGCACTGGCAGATTCTGGGATCTGGTGAGAGCCTCTTTCTTAGTTCCTACATGACACCTTCTATCTGTAATGTTTTTGCCACTTCACATGGTGGAAGGACAAGATGGCGTTCTCCACTGGCCCTCTTTTTCTTTTTTTTTAAGTTTATTTATTTTGAGAGAGAGGGTGCATGTGTGAGCTGGGGAGTGGCAGAGGGGGGAAAAAGAAAATCCTAAGAGAGTGCCCCGCTCTATCTCACAACCATGAGATCATGATCTGAGCCAAAATCAAGAGTCAGATGCTCAAAAGACTAAGACACCCAGACACCCTATGGTGTCTTTTATACTGGCACTAATCTCATTCATGAGGATTCTACCTTAATGATCTAATTGTCTCCCAAAGAACCACATCTTAATACCGTCACCTTGGGGGTTAGAATTTCAACACATGAATTTGGAGATGTGGACACAAATATTCAGATCATAGCCATTACTCATGTTAGTGACAGTATTTTTAAGAACAAGGCTGTTATATCTATGTATGTAAGTTTAATAGGTGGGTCTCAGCTTAGGCTATAAAGAAAACTAGTCAAATTAATTATTTTACTAAATTCACATAGTTTGTCAAAATATAGAAATGTTAACCAAGATGGTTTAGCAAAATTTCTCCTTAAAGAAAACACATTAGTATTCGAAGGTGAAAGGAGGAGTAAAAACTACAGAGTAATTTGAACTTGAATCAAATGATATGCATTAGGCTCAGCCACATGATTCTTAGTTGCAACTTAGCTAATGCAACGAAGCACCAATGAACAGGTGAGAACGACTGCAGGTGAAGTTTGACATCATCCCTCTGAGAAGTGTCTATGCATGAAATTCTTACTTGAGATCATCACTTTAATTTCTAGAAGACTATTTATATAAGGAAAAAATAAAGCACTATGTCTAACTATATGACTTTATACACCATTCTATAGTTGGCAGATTTCTCATATTTACTAAATTGTATATCCTTCCTCCTGATCTTCCCCACCTTTCTCACTAACACAAAGAATGTCACAGGTAGGTCAGCATAAGTTTTCTTTATCAAAGTAAAACAGATTTATCACATATCACATGATGGAAAGGTTAAGTGTACTGATAAGTTGAGAGATCTGTATACATCTTGGACAAGCTGTTGGAAAGAAAAATCATAACTGCTATTAGTTTTGAGTACTTATCATATGTAAAAAGCTACATGAAATAGATCACATACAATTGGTATCTTTTTAATCTTGCTTGCAATCATGGAAGGCAGAAACCACTGACATGTTAAAGAGGATGGACCGGAGATAGAATTTTCATCATAAAGTGATAACCTGGGATTTGAGTACAAGGTTTTCTGCTTTTAAACAAAGTTTGTACTATATCATATTGTATATCAATTATACATGTATTTATGTTTATACATGCATATATTTGTATTTCAACATTTGTTACTGCATATCAAAATGTGATTGTCACTAATGTGTCTCTATTCTGAATAGTACATTATCTTTCAGTTATATCACTGTGAGGCCAAAGTTAATCTAAAGAGTGCTGAACACACTTTGCATAATGTTGATTTAGCCTTCTCCATTTTTCTGAGTTATAGGTTTATATAGGGCTTTTATCTAGAAAATATCCTTAATATGTTAATATTTATCTTATTTTTTAAAATTAAATGTACCTAACAAAATCTTAATCCTTCCCAACACAATATATTTTTATGCCAGTCATATGGTTTTCCTCATAATAGATGTTGAGTACGTATGAGATTGGGCTAATAAATTTCAATCCCTCCTTTTTTTCGTTATCTTTTGCAGGAACATCCCTCACTAGGCCAACTTTCTGAGAAGTTAATAGACAACAACATTAATGTCATCTTTGCAGTTCAAGGAAAACAGTTTCATTGGTATAAGGTATGTGAATTCCCAAAATATAAAAATTAAAATGTTTGGATTGGTAGTTGAAATTAAAATACTTCTTAGATTCCCAGGTAAGGATTCTGGAGTTATTGTACAGTCTGAATTTAATAATGTATTTGCTAATGTATACTGCACGGTGTCTTAAGTAAACATTTACATATAAATTCTGTATCTGTAACACCTAGAACCAAGTGTGGGCACTGGTACTTAGTGTGGTACTGACTGTGACATTAATAGAAAAGACTCTATTCAGGTAAAAAATTCCACATTCCAACTACACCTTTCATGTCTGTATTTCTGTTCCTATTCAATCTCTAGGCATATTCTTACAATAGATTAGGTTGGGGAACATCAGCTTAGTTTTCACTGGTAACAACATACCTATATTTGGTCTAGGCCATCCAGTAAAGGCACAAAAGGAGTCCCTGAAAGTTGCTGATTCATCAGACCTTTCCTATGCAAGAATAATCTTGGTATCATACACAATCCTTCAGGCCAGATGAGACTCACAAACAGAACAGATGTTTGGCAAAACCATGTCACTCCCAACAAAAAAATTGCTTCTGTGACCCTGCTGTCATATTGTTTCCACAGTCTTTTAGGTCTTTTTTCCAGAGAACTCTCTTTTCTTCATTTTCATGATGTTGTGACTCCTTGATTTTCATTGCACATATCTGTTTACTGAATCTCCATCTCCTTTGTTGTCTCTGCCTCTTCTTTCACTCCCACTGTCCTTTACTTACTTCTTTTTTTAAAACTTTTTAATTTTTTTTTTTTTTTTGAGAGAGAGCCAGAGCATGAGTGGGGGAAGGGAGGGCAAAGAGAGAGGGAGACACAGAATTCAAAGCAGACTCCAGGCTCTGAGCTTTCAGCACAGAGCCTGATATGGGGCTTGAACTCATGAGCTGTGAGATCATAACCTGAGCCAAAGTCGGACATTTAACTGACTGAGCCACCCAGGCGCCCCTACTTCTTTCTTTCTTTCTTTTTAAAAAAAATTTTTTATGTCTCTTTTTTATTTTTGAGAGAGAGAGAGAGACATCATGATTAGGGGAGAGTCAGAGAAAGAGGGAGACACAGAATCCCTACTTATTTCTTTTAATACTTCAGAAAAACTAGGGGCACCTGGGTGGCTCAGTTGGTTAAACGTCCGACTTCGGCTCAGGTCATGATCTTGCAGTTTGTGGGTTCAAGCCCCATGTTGGGCTCTGTGCTGACAGCTAGCTCAATGCCTGGAGCCTGTTTCATATTCTGTGTCTCCCTCTCTCTCTGACCCTCCCCTGCTCATGCTGTCTCTCTCTTTCTCAGAAATAAATAAAACATTAAAAAATGTTTTTTAAATACTTGAGAAAAACTGTATTTTCCTTCAGTTTCAATAAATGCTTGAATCCATTTGCATTAGCCACAAAGCTGGTATTCGCCCCACCAATTTCCCTAATACCTGACCACTATATATATCATCTGAAAGCACTACTTTCTTTAATCACTCCACTTCTTCCCTTAGAAATCTACAGTGAAACTTTAATCAATTCCCTATTTTCCCAAGTTGATATACCATGGAACCCCTTTTTAATGTGACGATCATTAATAGTCACAGAAATAGGGCTCTGGGCAAATTAAATCCCCAAACTACTTTATGAACAATAGTAACAGATTCCACTTATTGAGTTATTATTATTGTCCAGCACTGAGTTTATTAACATGAATTCATGTGATACTCATTAAAGTAAGGGAAGTATTACTAATTTAAAGCCTACTTTAAAGATGAGGAAACACATTCTGAGAGGTTATATACTTGCCCAAAGTTTCCTAGCAGCTTAAATCCTGTGCCCTTAACCTCTAAGCGTAATAGCTGAATTTCAAAGTACTGCGCAGCTTGTTACTGCTCTAGCCTCTTCCTGCTTTGCTACCGATTACTTAATACTTGCTGCTGTTATTGGCTTTAGCAGTTTCTCTCCACTCCTTTCAAAAGATTTTCATTGACTGATAAAACCATAAAACCAGGTTTACTATGAATGGAATTACGTGCAAAGTAGGCATCAGCAGGCCCCAGAAGCTGGACAGTCAGGAGGCCTGTGTATGCCCTTGCAGTCACCTACTCCGGCTGCCCAGACATACTTTTATCAGTCACCTCCATCTGGGTTGTAACAGCCTCCTAACACACGTCCCACATTCATCTTCCATCTGGCTGAAGAATGATCTATTAAATTATGGTTGTGACCACAGTTCTCCCTAGAGCAAAACAGTCCAGTGCTTCCTTCTGAAAGGATCAAGTCTTTAATGTGGCATATGAGCTCATCTCATCCCTGCTTGCCTCTGTGCACATATACTCACCAAGTCACCAGGCTCTTTCTTTCCTTTGTGCCTTTGTTCTTGCAACGCATCCCCCATGCCGAAAAGTCTCTTCCCCTCATTACTTGGCTCATTCGTAGTCATCCTTTAAGATACAGCTCATGGGTCACCTCCTCCCGGTAAGAATCCTTGACAACTTTCTCTAGCCCTCAAATACTTTCTGGTATCCTTCTCCTTCAGGTCTCCCTATCTCTATTACTTCATGTGTACATTGTTTTTGAAATTGTTGTTTATATACCTAAGAAATCCTTAAGGATGGAAACTCCAAAGTGGTACATAATAGGAACACAATAAAGGTTAGATAATTGGCTCTTAAAAATCTATAAGTGATAAGTTTTTCCTATTACCTAAGATGCCAAAGTTTTAATGTCCAAGTAGTGGCTGACATATAGTAGAAACTTAAGGATACTTGTGAATGGTAAAATGAATGTATAAATGGATTTCGAGACTTTCCATAATCTGATTCCTTATAAATATGCAGCCTTCACTCCAGTCAGACTGTTTCTTCTCTTTTCTTACTTCGTCTCAACCAGGTAAACCTTTAAGCCTTCACTAATTCTCATTTTCTTACTAGGAATACTTAGAGTTTTCCCCATAATTGTTAAGTGCCATCCATAAAGAATATCCACTCCATGAAGCCTCCATCTATGACAATGATTCTTTTCTCCAGTCTGGGCCAACATGTCCTATAGGTCACTCCATGGAATAGTAGTTCTGCAGAATATTTATATATGTTACATGAGAAGAAGTTTTGTAATTAAAAACTGTTGGAAATGCTGCAACAAATGCTGCTAAATTATTTCCAAATTGCAAGACTTCTCTGAACCTTAGCTTTGCAAGTGCACATTTTGAGTACCTAAGGAGAAGAAACCATATGGAGAACCTTCTAAACATACTTGCCCTCAGAACCCTTTAGATAACTATGTTCCATGGAACATGAGAGGTACTTTGGGAAATGCTGGTCTGTACTTCAATGGGTTTTTTGGTCAACATGTAATTTGTGCATGCCTACAGGCTCATGCATATACACATACGCACACTTCCATTTCAGGTGTATGTCTTTTGGCTGCCCTACTTGGTTGCTTACAGTTTTCTTGTATCTTATATTTTTTTCATTCATGTAATGGCTCACCTTCCACTAATAACTATAAAAATGTTTGATATTTGTTGATTGTTGAACCACTGTATACTATTGTCATTACGTAAATGCTATTGGTATGTTTTCTAGGACCTTCTACCCCTCTTGCCTGGTACCATTGCTGGTGAAATAGAATCAAAAGCTGCAAACCTCAATAATTTGGTAGTAGAAGCCTATCAGGTATGTATATATTACACACAATTTTTTTCTTTTTTTTTAATGTTTTATTTATTTCTGAGAAAGAGAGACAGACAGCATGAACAGGGGAGGGTCAGAGAGAGAGGGAGACACAACATCTGAAACAGCCTCCAGGCTCTGAGCTAGCTGTCAGCACAGAGTCCGACGCCAGGCTTGAACCCACAACCGTGAGATTATGAGCTGAGCCGAAGTTTGACGTTTAACTGACTGAGCCACCCAGGCGCCCCTACACACAATTTTTTTCATGTAAACTTTTAACCCCAATTTCTGTGGCAAGATACAAATTAGGGCCCTATCATCTTGAGAGAAATGGTGGACAGACAATTAAGTTAAAAATTAGGATCCTTAATTTAGGCCTGGCTCTAGTACAAACTAGCCACAAAACCTTGGGAAAGTCAGTTCAGCTTTCTGTGCCTCACTGTCTCATTGACAATAAACTCTGGTCAGGCTAAAGGCTATCTAAATTTCCTTCCAAATCAAAGGTTAAGTAAGTCCCTGAATAACAGCTATAGAATATACTTCGTTACCATAAATGTCACAATTTCCTGTGTCATAAAGATCAAGAAATCCACACTATTTAAAGCAGCAACCTGTTAGGTTGAACAATCTGGGATATAGAGATTACTGAGATTACTCTGTTGGGGTTTCCTAGAGCAATCACTTGATTGTTTAATAAGTGATTTTAGCAGTTTTATCAAACTAATTTGATTAAAAGAATCAACTTAAGAGGTATACTATTTTATTGAATTCACATTTGCCTGCTGTTCCCAGTCTATGAAGAGTGAGTACCAAATGCAAAGTTTTACAGAAACATCTGTTCTCTCAACATAGGTCATTCCTAGATAGAATAATTATTGTTACGATGTTGTAAATAATTTTGATTGTTACTTTAATAAAACTGAGAACCAGTTACTTTCCATACATTACCTCATTTAATCCAGACAACTGATCCATAATTGGATATGGATAGTTGTACTCCCATTATGTATTACAGAACCTCAAAGAAGCTAAGCAAGCTAACCATAGGTCAAACAAGCAGAAGAAGCAGGATCAGAATCCAGCTTTCCTTAATTCTAGGCCCCAGGTCCTTCCTTCTGTGTGAAACCACCTGTTTTTCTCTTTTTCTTTTCTTTTCTTTTTTTTTTTCAAACTATCCAAAGATAGGCTTTATTCTACTTTGAATTTATGGGCCATTGATAAAGTTTCACTTCCCAAATTCTCTCATTCTCTTCCTGACACAGTTGAGATGAATAATGTAAATAGTAGCCCAAGCATTATAAGAAATCTCAGGCTTCTCAAATTTTCCATGCAGCATCTGCCTTCAACTTGAGCAGAAAAGGTAAAGTCAGGAAGCAAACACATGATAGAAAATGACTCATTTAAACTTTATTCTTTTAAAAATGTTTTAAATGTTTATTTTTGAGAGAGAGACAAAGAGACAGTGAGAGAAAGAGAGCACCTGAGCAGGGAGAGGCAGACAGAGAGGGAGACAGAGAATCCAAAATAGGCTCTGCACTGACAGCAGAGAGCTCTACACAGGGCTTTAACTCACAAACCAAGAGATCATGACTTGAGCCAAATGTCAGATTCTTAACTGACTGAGCAACCCAGGTGCCCCTAAACTTTATTCTTTTAAAAGAAAAATAAATCTTGTGAGACTTTTTTTTTTTTTGCCAAGGAATTGTCCTATGACTGAAAAATACATTGAATGAAATAAGGAAGAGCATCTTCAATTATTTTTATTTCTATTACAAAAAAAAAAAAATTAAGTCTGGGAGAACTTCTCATCAAGGAAAATCAAACATGTACAACTCATTCCCATCTGCAGTTTGTTCCTAGGAATAATCAGAATAAGGAAGAGATTTACAGTGTTAGAAATCACCCCAGTTTTTATAGTATGAACCCATTTATTAGTCTAAACAAGAAATACAAATTGAAAAACTTGCCTGTGTGTCAGACTGTACCAATGGAAAGGGAAACAGCAGCATTTGGTTTTATACTCTTTATTCACTGAGGTTAGGTATCCAATGCTTTAGCGAACTGCAGTTCTGATTAACCTTAAGCAGTGGGAAAATACTAGCAAATTCAACAAGACTTACTCTGGCTAACTAATCTCCTTTATGTTGGGATTCTATTATTATTTTATATATATCTATGTTTTCAAAATTCTTCTGAAGTTTTATTTTGTCTTCATAGTCCAATAGACATAATTCACAATGCATTGAAGAATAAAAATATTTCACTCTAATTTTTAAGATAACTTCACTCTAAACTTTTAAGTTTCGGGGCGCCTGGGTGGCTCAGTTGGTTAAACTTCCGACTTTGGCTCAGGTCATAATCTCGCAGTTTGTGGGTTTGAGCCCCGCGATGGGCTCTGTGCTGACAGCTCAGAGCCTGGAGCCTGCTTCAGATTCTGTGTCTCCCTCTCTCTCTGACCCTCCCCCGCTCACACGCTGTCTCTCTGAAATAAACAAACATTAAAAAAAATTTTAAAAAAATAAACTTTTAAGTTTCTACATTTCCTTTGTAAGAATTTTATAAAATTACATACAAATTTAATGTATGGTGAATGTGACCGCATTTTAATTTTGTCCTTTAAGCAGCACTGCCACTAGAATTAAGATTAAATAAAATTCATGACTATAATAATTTAAACTGAAATTAAGAAATTAAAAACAATATTGAATACAAACAGAATTATGTATCAAAAATATAAATTCTGCCTCTATATCTATTAGCTATTAAAAAGAAAACTTGTGACTAGACCCTAATTTCAAAATCTCAAAACCGGGCAAAATTTTAGATATTTGTCTTCACACATTGCTTAAGAGAAAAACATTAATGTAACAAGCTTAACTTTTTAAGAGAAAGAATTTCAGAAGAGCAAACTGGGAACACTCACTATATTAGGAATTTCCTTCTGATCTGTCAAACCATCACCCTATCAACCATTTGTAAATCCCACACCATTTGTAAACCATGACTATATCAACACTATTTGTGTACCATTAGAAGTTGCATTTGCTTTGCTAAGGAGCGTTCAACTAAGTGATGACAATGGATGAGCTCTCTGGGAGATTTAAAAATTTGGCTGACACAATCTTCTCTAATCCAAATAAAATTTACTAATTTGAAGAAATATCTTGTTTCATAGTTACCACCATGGTCAATTATTAGTCAGTAAGCATACATCTCTTTATCAGTTATACAGTTGAAAATGAAAGTTTACTCAAGTAAAAATGTAGAAGCCTTTGGAAAAACTGTCTTTCTTCATAGGTTGCTATTCACTCTTTCCTTAGGTATATATTTCTTTTTTCCTTCGTTTTGTTTATAATTTAAGGATTTTTGCATGTGGTAGACTCTTTGTTTTATGATCTTCAGTATTTATTTAATGTAGCTAGAAATTTTTGGAACCAAAGATTGTGATGGAAGAAATTAGTGTGTCCTTGATACATGACAAGCATTACATAAATATTTTTGAGTAATTGTATAAGTGAGTGAATGGTTTCCTGTCTAGTAAATGGTCCCGTTTCAGTATCAAGGATAAGAACAAATTTGATTGACACAAGCAAGCCCCAGGGACTTGGCAAAAATCCAAGGGCATTCTGGGAGAATTTACAGGACATTCTGGCAGGTAATTCTTAGGCCTATAGTATAGAAATGCCCTCACCAAAATATACCTTTGAATTTTGCATCAGTAAGGTGTTTTAAGTTTCAGGATAGCCTAAAGTGTTTGAAACTGAAATGTTTATGTATATATGACACATAAATGTCAGAAGTGTGTTCCAGGTTTTAAACTGCTAAGATTTACTCTCTGTGATGATATATGTGTTCTTAATGTTTTTTTCAAATTTTGTCACAAAATATAAACATTGGATTTAAAATGATTATTTTTGTAACACAGTCTGAGTGAGAAATCTCTCTAAAGTGATCTAAATGCATAGTCGTGGAAATATGTGAAAAAATAGAACAATTTAAATGCATATAGTCTAATCCTTCAGTATTTCTTATGTATTTCATAACTGGGTCATTAAATGGAGACTCTATATTTATTCATCCTTTTATAGGAACAGACTCTTTGATTCAGTTAAAAATTAAATCTAGAATTATTCAATAATCTTGACTCTGTTTAGTTGTTTACATCTGAAATTTCTGTAATATACACTTTAAAAATGATATCTCTGCAGAAACTCATTTCAGAAGTGAAAGTTCAGGTGGAAAACCAGGTAAAAGGCGTCTATTTTAATATTACTGCCATCTGTCCAGATGGGACCCGAAAAGCAGGCACAGACGGATGTGGAAATGTGACAAGCAATGACGAAGTATGTGGGTGTGCATTTTTCCCATTTTAAAATAAACTAAGTTGTTTGGCAAGTTTTCTCACAGAAAAATCAAACCGTTCTGGGCAGCTTTATTTACTACTGACTCCAAGGATCTTATTTATATAGTTCAAAGTAATTTTTATTGTTTCTTTCTAAAGTTCCTACTTGTTTTAACTCCATTGATATGTCTTAAACTCTAAATTGAATAAATATATATTATATTAAATACTTATTTGATGATAATAACTTTAAACTTTGGTGTCACAGCCAGTGTGTGTATAAGTAAAGTGCATCTCTTCAAACAAGTAGTGTCTACACTTACAATGATGATGATACCTACCTTTTTGGTTTCAAATCTGAAAATTCTCAGAATAAATTTGAAATTGAATGTAATAAGGCACAGAAAAGAATGACAGTGATGGAGTAGTTGATAAAGGCTATGAATTCCAAAATTTTTTGTGTTATTGTTCCAGTGCACTCATAATGATCTATGAAGAAGAGGGGACATTTATTAAAAGCAATAAAAAAGAGGTGCCATTTAGTTAAAAAGGGATAAAATGTGAAAAACAGAGGACCCAGATTATTGCAGTGTTAAGAAACAGGACCAGAGGACACAGGAATTCTCCCAAAATGAGCACAAAAGAGGGTAAACACACAGAAACAGGCTTTTCAAGGGAATTCTTGTTAGATAAAGATTTTCGGTGAGCTACCTTGAGGCATCAGTTGCCTCATTTTTAAAGAAGCAGTTCAGACTGCAAAATTTAGATCCCTTTTCCTTTCATCTCTAAAGTTCTATGATATTATTTTAGTGCTATGCTGTATTTTTCTCTTTTGGGAAGTTTAGAAGTATGTTAGTATGGTTGCTCCAACAAGCTGGCTATTTGAAATCAATTATGGCTAGTTTCTAATGTTTTAGGTCCCTGCATAAACACTTCTTGGAATTTGTTCAAAAGTCATTATATGACAAATATATATTAGGTTTATAAAATATATATTTATAACATATATAATTTTCATATAATATATAAATATATGTATTTGATTTTTGTAAAATATAGAAAAACTGTGCTAGCAAAAGTTTCTGGAAAGGGTTAGCCTTTTGGATGGATGTAGTTCTTTCTTTCAAAATCAGTTTTGGCAGAATGGTTTTCCTTCTTTTTTTTCTTTTACTTTGTCTGTAATTCCTTTTTCACCCTCACCTTCAACTAAGTGAAACATATATAAACAGTTTGACTCTCAGGAAGGGTGATATGACCTCTTAATTATATAAACTCCAAGTTTTGCTTTATTAATATTGGCAATGGCCACATTATCCTACACATCTGTTAATCCTTAACATTCCTAAAGACAAAAACCACTTCAAGTACAATACCAACTGCATTAATTTTAATATTATGAAACTGATTTTAATTTCTGATGCATGTATGTAATATAAAAGCCTAAACTGAGATCTTTCATATCTTTTGTGTGTGTGTGTGTGTGTGTGTGTGTGTGTGTGTGTGTGTACTTGTGCTAGGCTTTTTGGTCAGAGTGGGTTTATATATATGGATATATCCCCACCCATATATATATTCATACCAACAAAAAAGCCTACCAGAAATTATTTTTAAGTTGTAATGGATATTAATCTAAGATCGGAAAAAAAAAAACCCATACAAGCTTATTTGCCAAAGTACCTGAAAATTATAAGGTAGGCTAACAAATCTAAAAAGGCACATTAAACCAATCATGTTGTGCAAAAAGGAAAGAGAGAGAAAGGAAAAACTTGGCAAGATCTGTTGTTTCACAAGGGAAACACACTCCTGCCAACTGAGATCTTTAGTTGTAGGCTCACTTCTCCACTGAGACAAATGTAGGACCTTGTATTGAGATCTTAAGATCTGAGAGAGTCCTAAATCTTATTCCCTTAAGTAGCATCAGACAAAGCCTCCTGTTTTCCTCATTAACACCATGTATAAACTAAAATTTAACCCTGAAGCTTTACTTGGGCCCCTAGAAAATGGAACAAAAATAAAAATTGTTCATCTGAACATCCTATCTCAAGGTTTAACCCAGTAGTGCAGTAGTCCTTTAGTTAATTTGATCTATCCCTTGTGCCAAACATTCATTAACCCCACACTTTAAGGACTTAATTCATAAAATCGTCTATTCTCTCTCAAGTTTGCTAAAAAAATCAGTGGAGAATATCAATCATTGGAAGTGGAGTAGACATTTCAAATATATTTGACCCATGTCCGTTTAATAGTACAATATAGACAAGTATTAGTCGTTGCTTCCTTTAACTCTCTAGTTCATTAATTAGGAAATAAATGAAATGAAAAAGGGATGTTACATCTATACATGAAAGACTGCATGTGTAATTTACAAGTGTTGTAAATTTCTATAAGATGGTATGTCTATAAGATGGTATGTCACTTATTCAAAATATCATTCACTCATATAATAAATAGTGGTGATAAAACTAATCATGACATATAAATATATTTTCTTCCCTTCTGCCCATTTAGGTTCTTTTCAATGTAACAGTTACAATGAAAAAATGTGATGTCACAGGAGGAAAAAGCTATGCAATCATCAAACCTATTGGTTTCAATGAAACCACTAAAATTCGCATACACAGAAACTGTAGCTGTCGGTGTGATGATAGCAGAGGACCAAAACTAAAGTGTATAGATGAAATTTTTCTAGATGCCAAATGTTTCCAATGTAATGAGAACAAATGTCATTTTGATGAAGATCAATTTCCTTCTGAGAGTTGCAAGTCACATAAAGATCAACCTGTTTGCAGTGGCCGAGGAATTTGTGTTTGTGGGAAATGTTTATGTCACAAAATTAAGCTTGGAAAAGTATATGGAAAATATTGTGAAAAGGATGACTTTTCTTGTCCATATCACCATGGAAATCTGTGTGCTGGTAAGTATCAATAAATATATACATGTAGTTTTTACTAGTTACTATTAAACTAGCATGTATGTCAAAGTATCTTTAAGTCACATCTTTATAATTATCAACTCTGAATCTGAATTTAATATTCAAAGTTTCAAAGTCTATGAAATTAGAGCATGGCAACACATTCATGGCACATGATTCCGCTATTTATATTTTAACTTATTTTGTACAGGAAATACTTGAACATAGAAACAGAAAATTAAGTGTTATTCTCAAGTATGCCTTGATTTTATAAAGATAAATACCAGAAAAGGAAATTTCTGATGATGTCTGGCAGGTTGTCTATAATCAGAGTATTCTAGAAAAGACCCGATTCATTCTCATAAGTGGTCACTCCCTCTATCTTGCTCAGAGGATAGGGAGCTTTAAAAACACAGTTTCCATTCACTGGAAAATTCTTAATGCATTATTACAGATGGTATTATAAATCTGTAATAATTTAAACCTCTCCAGTTTATTTTTGGAACAATGCAAGCAACAGAATTATCAAACGACAGCATTCTTCAAGAAAACACTGGTTTCATAAGTAATCTAGAATATTAGTCCTAGAGGCCACACACAGACCACGTTTAAAAATGAAATAACTTATAAGAAAAAGGTCAGAAGTACTTTTTGGCTAATTCAGTTTACTGCCACCTAGAGGTTAGATTCTAGAAAATCTGTGCAATGTTTGAAATTTAATACAAAATACCGTTTTCAAGTAAATTAATTTTTCTATGACAATGTGCTAAATCCACTTATTGTCACAACACCATTTTTAAAATGTTTGCATTTTTGTAAGCAAATATTAATTAAATTATTAATGAACTGAAATATTTCATTTTCATAACCATATGGAAAGTAACAAGCCATATTCTTGTGTAAGCTATAAATTTGCCATATATCACATAAATATGCAATGGAAAATTGCCTTTTTATTCTGTTATATACACAAAATGTTTTATATGCCAAACATGTATCCTGCTATAACTAGTATCATTGGTAGAGTGGATTATAGATAAGAACAAACAAGCAATTATCTTCTAAAATTTAGAACTAATCTTATTTGGAAGAGGAAAGAGGAAGAATTCTGATATCCCACAGCTATTAGGATAGAAGCTTGAAATATATTGGGAATCCCAGTCTCTATTTATAGTAAACTATCAAAAATCAATGTACTAGCTCTTCTATATGACTATTCTATCGGCCCACAGGCAGTTGAAAATCTGCTTTGAATTATTTGTGTGTAAGTTATAAGTGCAAACTGTAGGCTGACAAACATTTTCTTCACTAGTTTCCTTTGAGAATAAAAACATATGTTCACAGATCAGCTGGCTAGGATTAGGCGTGCAGCCTACATATAAGGAATAGGGTCTGGCAGGCATTCGTTTGGCCTGGACCTCATTAGTTTTACATTTAGCAACTGAGTTGATCCAACAGTAGACTTTATGGAACAGTTACCCTGTGAGGTGCTTACAATAAGGGGAGACAGGGAAGGAGGGAAGAAGGAAGCCAGGAGGCAAAAGAAGGAAGGAAAGAAGAGTCTGTGGCCAAATAAGCTTGAGAAATACTACATAACCCTGTAATATATACTCACTCTTGAGGATTTATAATTCACATGGGCATACTAAATTTAGGATGCTTCTTGAAGTCTAAAATCCATTTAATTACACGTAACCAATGTTTCTCCTCAGCTTACTTGTATACATGCATGCCTTCAACCTCAACACATAGATGTGCATGTGTACACACACACACACACACACACACTCCACCTTGCTTTTTCTCACCTAATTCCTCACAATTACCTATTACCACCTAATAACTCACAAACTCACAGCATACTTTAGGACATGCCTCTCTAACCTCCTAATGTCCTGAATATGTGAAGGGATCAGTTCAACTTTGCCAGAGATCTTTAAACATGGCACTAACAGAATTGAAGTACTAGAAGGGTTTGCCTTATAGACCTTCACAAGTATCCCAGGCCCTTAGCAATAATGAGAAACTAAGAGAATAGTCATGGAAGCTATTAGTAAAATACCCCCATTTTTTGGATTTCAAGACTGACAATTAACATTACTTCAGCCTTTGTCACTTTTTTAATATTTGTGTATTTTTAATTTAAAACTGAATGCACAGTCACCTTCAGGTAGTCAGGCAGCCACTGCAGTGGGGCACACGTCACAATTGTCAGCACAAGAGATTAGCATCATGGCGTTTATCTACAACAGGACAGCTTTGAAAATAGACACTCCTAAAAATCTCTCATTGTTTATGTCAAATGAATAGAAAATGATGCTATTTGCATTCATTTGACTGTCAGTGTGTTTCCGTGGATATGGGAGGAGAATTCATGTCTGGAAATACTGCACAAAGTCAGTGGCTCCAATAACTTAGATCCTGGACTGTCTGTTGCAGGGCATGGAGAGTGTGAAGCAGGCAGATGCCAGTGCTTCAGTGGCTGGGAAGGGGACCGGTGCCAGTGCCCAGCAGCAGCATCCCAGCAGTGTGTCAATCCAAAGGGCCAAGTGTGTAGCGGAAGAGGCACGTGTGTATGTGGCAGGTGTCAGTGCACTGATCCCAGGAGCTTTGGCCGTTTCTGTGAACACTGCCCCACATGCCAGACAGCCTGCAGTGAAAACTGGTATGTGTTCTCTAACTCCAAACATACATGAAGCAGTCTGTCACCATAGCTATGTTTGTCCTTTTTTATTTTGCCTTCCTTAATCTTAGAAGTTGCTGGATCTTCTCTACTAGATCAATTGTTACCATCGTGCTAAAAAAGAACTGAATAGGAACATTAGGAATTAGAAAACTTTGATTCTAACTTTTGGCCAGTTAGTTAGCTGTGAAAGCATCAGAATTGATCTAGGCATTCACTCCTTTACTTTTTAAAAAAAAATGTTTACTTATTTATTTTGACAGAGAGAGAGAGGGAGAGAGCACATAGCAGAGGGAGGAGCAGAGAGAGAGGGATAGAGAGAGAATCCCAAGCAGGCTGGATGCTATCAGTGCATATCTCAACATGGGGCTTGATCTCATTAAACATGAGATCATGACCTGAGCCAAAACCAAGAGCAGGAGACTTAACCAACTGAGCCACCTACATGCCCCTGCTTTAGCTTTGTGGAAATGGGTTTGTAATTTTGAAGAATAAGATTTTGTGTTCATAAGGGCTCATTGTTCTTTACCCAGGTTTACTGAGATACAGCTGACAGATAGACTTGTTTACACAATGTTTAAGATATACAACATGATGAGTAAAGGCTGCCTACTCCACAGTTTACCGTCAATTAGCTATTTGATCTAGGATATGTTGTTGAAATTCTCTGTGCCTCAGTTTCTTGATATTGAAAATGAGGATTATAATAACAATACATTGCTATAGTTCTGTGACAGAATTAAGTTAGATGATTCATGTAGGAAAAAAAAAACAACCCAACCTTTTTTACTTGGCACATAATAATCCTAGAAAAAATGTTAGCTATTATTATTGTTTTCTTTTTTTAATTTTTCAGTTTTTAAAATAAAGAACGATAGTGGCTATGAAGCACCTCTGGAAATAAGTGATGTATAAATAATAGGTGAGATGTGAAGTGAAGGTGGCATTATTGTTTTGGGACAGTAACTATTTTCCAGTAACAGTTTGAGCCTGCTCAAAGACCACTACTCTAAACATCATTGTGCCTTCTAATTTGTTTCATTCAAAAATTTTAAGACATTCACTTTCTTGGATTGGTAGCTCAAGTAAAATTTTTAAAATTATACATAGTAATTTATGTAACTCTCTTGGAAATGCATGTACTTATGCATGATGGAGTTATTTCTAATGAACCCAACTGAAACTTGGACTGTATATTCATTGCTAAACATTTCTAGTAGTATAACATTTATCTTCTAAAATATTTTTCCTTGTTTTATTTGTTACGCATTTCCTAGGTATTTTCTTCTCAATACAAAAAATTCATTATTTTGAATGTACACATTATTCAAATGTTTTTAGTAGTTAGAATATAATTTTGCATGGTACTAAATTCAGCCAATATTACAAATAAATATGGCTTCTTTCCCTGTTTTACAAGACTACTATGCTAAAATAGTTTTGATAGTTCATTTCTCAAATTTCATTTGATATTTCATTATTCTCTAATAAAAAATACTATGGGCTACAACCTTTTCAAAGATTACATGTTTCATTTCTGTTTGTCCTTAAAAGGAATTGTGTGCAATGTCTTCACCCTCACAATCTGTCTCAAGCTATACTTGATCGTTGTAAAACTTCATGTGCTCTCACGGAACAGCATTACATGGACCAAACATCAGGTAAACCAAAGCTTACTAATGAAAGCACTGAAAAGTATCTGTAAAGAATCATAGTCCCCAAAAGAGCCCATAATCAATCATCCTAAAGAAAGGAAAAACTGCTTAGTGTTTTCAGTCTTCCAGAGATTGTACTTTAAAAAAGCAGCTGAGTATATTTGCCATAGTTTGCCTGGATGAGTAGATCTCCTATCTCTATTATCCAGCTAAATTTCCATTCTGGGCCCCGCCATGGAAGTACACCAAGCAGAGTGTCTACAGAGGCCTCAGTGAGCCAAGAATGGAAATTTCCTATGTAGAGTCCATTTCACCCTTAGAGATAAACTCTATGGAGCTATACTTCTCTTTCATAACCCAACTTACTTCCAGTTACAACCTTCCTCGTGTAAACCCAAAACTTTTATGTTTCAGGTAAAGCCAAAAATTCTAAGTAGCAATGATCTGATTCTGCAAGTATATAACCTAAAAAGGACCATCCCTTTCTAGTATTTTTCATTCTAATATAAATATAATTTATGGGTGAATTATTATAAAGGCAGTATAATGGAAAAGGCATGAAAACTTTCAAGCTTAAAGCATGTTCCTTGACACTAAGAGATAAGAAATACCAGCCCTCTTACAAAATTTCTCTGGGCCTCCGTTTCCTCATCTGTAATGGACATAATAATACCAACCTCAAAGTTATATGAGAGTAAATGAGTCAGTGAACATGATAGAAATATTTAAATTAAAAGATGACACACAAATGGGAGAAACATGTGAAAGCTGTGTTCAAAGACCCCCTTAAGATAAAAATTCATTAGAACCCAAAAGCCAGTATCCCACTTTGCTCAGGTGTTAAGGTGTTAAAGTGCACATAAATTAGAAAATAAGCTTGAAGTTTGTCTTCTTTGAAAGAATTTCTACTGCTACTATTATTTCTAGTCTCTCCTCTAACCTATAAAAATAATTCCAGCTCTTACAAAGCCTGCACAGAAGAATAAGCTTTCTCCAGTTTTGTTTCCTTCTTCCCTTGCATCCACACTGATCTTAGTCCATACTGAATTTGGCTCTGGAAAGAGCCCATGTGCTGCCAGCTGGGGCTGCAGCAATCACTCCAAAAAGCCAAGTGCCTTTTCTAATAAATAGAGCCCTTACTGTCAACATGTCATTTATTATGTTAAGTAAACAAATCTACTCTGACCTAAGTGTGGTTACAGAAAGTATTCCCTTAAAGCTCCTTAGGAAAAGCCCTTGCTTGACCTAAACCAAGATGAGAGTCATGGCCAAGGCTAAATGTTTGACTATCCAAAATGACATTTTAAAATGCATGCAGATTTGAGCTTTGAAAATGTCCTCTATCCTAACCTATTAGAAATATTTGTAAAATGTAACAGTAGCTAGGGGGCTCCCCTCCCTTTCACAACTATGGTGGAAGGAGAGAAGAAGGACATTTGTTAGCCACCCCTATTATCTATCCACTCAATCACACTTAAAGGGTGTTGCTTTGGTCTTCTGGCTAAGCTCCTCCTAGGCAAGAAGCCAATAAGTGGGATCAAGCCATGTGTCCTCTTTAAGGATCTGCTTTAGCTGACTGACTAGTTCTAAGTCAGCCAGGGGAAATGACAGTCTGTCAGGATGAAAGGCACGCATGTCATAAACCTGAAGGTCACTCTGGAAGAGTCCAAGGGAACCACTTTTGAATAGAGCATCTCGGATTCTCTCTGTATGTGAGAGCAGTAACAAAGGGAGACTTGCACTTTCATTTGGTGTTTCTATTCCAATTAGTAGCCCTCCGGACTCCCTTACCCCTTCTTTCAAGGAACCTTGTCAATGACCAAAAGAAAACTGGGCTCGATGTTCTCTCGCTTGGAGAGGAGCCCTTACATTCTTCCTGAGCTCTTGGTTTATTCAAAAGCATGCTTGGTCATCCCTTGGGAATTCAGACAGAAATTACCCATGTTTGGATGATCATTCTTCTAAGACTTGGTAGGCCCCCTCCCAAAAAGCTCTCTCAGGGAGACCTTCAGGCATTTAGGTAAAGTCTCCAAAGTCTGGAGAATGGGTAGAAAATGCTTGCCTCTTTAAGCCAGGAGGTAATTTTTGTGAATCTGGGGCAGCTGGTGAGTTCTGTGGAAGACTGACATATTATGCAATGTTTCCCTTAGATTAGGATAATACTTCTGGCATCCACAGAGCCTGTAGACTTTCCAACTAGAGTTTGCCAAAGGTCTAGTACTAAAACAGAGACCTAGTATGTTCCTTCTCTCAATGCAGCATGCCTTCACCAGCTAGTAACTATTTATTCTTGAAAAAAAGATACAGTGGAATTTTTAGAAGCAAAATATGGCAGATTTGGTTTACAGACAAATAAAAACCAAATTAATAAAAATTGAAGAAAGTGATTTTGCATATTGTCCCAAGTTGGACACTCCTATTCCCTGGAGAAGCTACTTGTAATAATAATGGAAATTTACACTACAGTTTCAAAGGAAATACTTATTCATCTATCAAAGTAGTACTGCTTTTAGCTTCTGCATTGTTTCCATTACTGATGTACAACAAGTGAAGAGCAAGCATAACCAGAGAAACATACGCTAATCCACAGAGCTATTAAATAATTTTTAAATCCTGCTTCCTACTTAGTGATCAACAGCACACACCACAAAATCTGTCCCTTATCTACCACAGATAAAATTTTATTTGTTTAAGGGATTTGGACACATTCCAGTTAATACAATTATAAAGAATGTCTCTTGGAAATATTTTAATAAATGTGTAATAAAAATTATGCAGTTTATTTTTGAATCAATAGTAATGGCATTCTCCTGTTTTGAAAACGTAGATTTGAAAATATCTCTAGTACTATTAACCGAGATGGAGAACATTGTCTGCTTGTTAGAATCCTTTGATTTACTCATTCTAGTTTTAATCCATTTATTTGTTTGCTTCATTACAGAGTGTTTCTCTAGCCCAAGCTATTTAAGAATATTTTTCATCATCTTCATTGTTACATTCTTGATTGGGTTGCTTAAAGTCCTTATCATTAGACAGGTGATACTACAATGGAATAGTAATAAAATTAAGTCCTCGGCAGATTACAGGGTGTCAGCCTCAAAAAAGGTCAGTGAATTCTAAAAAAGAATTACTATCATTATGTCATTGTCTGCTTCCAATATTTAAGCTGTTAATTAATGATAGTATTTTTTCTCCATCAAGGACAAGTTGATTCTGCAAAGTGTTTGCACAAGAGCAGTAACCTACCGACGTGAGAAACCTGAAGAAATAAAAATGGATATCAGCAAATTAAATGCTCATGAAACTTTCAGGTGCAACTTCTAAAGAGATAAAAAGTACTTTATGGGAAACTGGATTTTAAATAATTGCTCCTAGAAAATATACTTTTAGAAGTCACAGGAGGAGACAAACTGTTCTAGATCATGCTGGTTGCTGGTTCTCCACTTGAATGAAAACTGACAAGCATCCTCATCATCGTGTGACTCACATCGCTGCTGAATTTTTCAGAGAAAAATGTGTCTTACTACTGTTTGAGACTAGTGTCATTGTAGCACTTTACTGTAATATATAACTTATTTAGATCAGCATAGAATGTAGATCATCTGAAGAGCACTGATTACACTTTACAGGTACTTGCCATTCCTATGTTTCCCAGAGAGAGACAATGCTGTGAGATAGTAGGCACTGTGTCACTACAAGGGTACAGTAATCCCTGCACCAAATATGTGGATAAAAAAAGTAACAGGCAGTTATAATACTGTTGCCAAACATTTCTACAATTGGCAGTGAATAGACGAGAACGTCTAGATGAATAAATGGTTAGTGTTTTACTCATTCAAGAGGCAACTAGATAAAATCTTAATCTTGAGGGATACTGCTTTTGAAACTGTGTAGTATTATGCATGTGTTTATGTTTTCTGCTTTTTACAAGATACTAATCCCAACATTCTTTCCTCTTTGCCTTTATGTTTTTTTCTGTCTTACAGGATAAGTTTATATATGTCACAGATGACTGGATTAAATAAGTGCTAAGTTACTACTGCCATTAAAACCTAGTAATACAATGTCACTTTATTAGAATACTGGTTTTAAAAGCTGAATGTTTAATAAGGGATGCTGTAAAGTCACATCAAAATCTGAACAGCTTCATTGTGCGCAGATGTGGAGTTTTATATCTTCTTACCTGATAAACTGGATGTTCCACCATTTCATTTGTCTGATCATCAGGTTGAAGTTCACAAGGTATTTAGAAGCCCTGCCTCAAGCAAAGTACCACATTTTTTAGTGCACTCTCAGAAATTAACTCCAAGTAGATATGATTAGTTTTCAAATTAAAAGCTATAGAAAGCTCTATTAATTTTGCACTTCAGTGCAGCCTAAGGAATTAAGGTGTCCCTAAGTCACCTCAACTCTACTCACCAGAATTTTAAATGTATACAATGGGAGAACAGACAATATCTTAGAAGTAAGCTGATCCATCCTCTTGGGTAGTCAAGGAACTGAGTGAGGCTCACAAACTTTAAATGATTTCTTTAAAAATGCCCAAGTGATTAAGTGGCAGCATTTGAAGAGAACTTCTATCTTATTGCCAGGCTAGTGTTCATTGCACAATATCATGCTACCTCTTGAATCTTTTAAAATATTTGATTGGCAAGTATTTTTAAATACTTTCAGTGACTTTAAATACTTTCAGTGATTTACTGAAGTCTTAAGTATATAAGCATGAGAAAATTTCAAAGCAAAGCAGAAAAGAGTAATTCAAACTGAATTCCATGACTGGCTTTTAGTCTTTCTTGCTAATCAGTTTCTAAGAGAATGCAACGTGGCCTAAATACAAGGAAGTCCATTCACACCACAGCCTGTGAGTTGTGTAGTGCTCAGCCTGAGAGCTTGATACAGAGGTCATGAGCTTTTATCTTCCCCAGTGGAAACTTCTTCACAATTACCATATCCCTACAGACTTATTTGGTCTGATTTCATTGGCCAGAAGTCCAAATGTCCTGTGTGTAGTACAGAGCTTTGCCTATGAGAACAAAGGAATTTATTTAAAATGCTTTCTTATCATTAACTTCCCAAACTTGCTGTCTTCCAGCACTTGAAGAAATGCCAGATATTTGCATTTTAATGAGACTAACTCCCACCCCCATATTTTACCCCAAAGAGGATTTAAAAACATATAATAAGTGTTCTTGAGAAACACAGCCTTTCCATTTACTGTCCCATCCAGCCACACAATTATATTCTAAGTTAAACTGTATTTCCTTCCCCAAATGAAATTGGGGACATTGACATAATTCAGTACTATGACTCACTTGTGTAAGATACCTTTTATCACCAAGGATAACATAAAAATCATATTTTGCAGTCTGCCTGTCACACATGGCATCCATTTTAAAAAGAAAAAATATGGATACATGATAGCTCCCCAAAAGGCAAAGTGGAAATAATCCATTCATTAAAATGCTGACAGTTTTAAAAATGAACATTATAATATTCATAAACTAATCTCCATGTGGAATGAGTTATCCAAAGGAGCATAATAAACTTAAACCCTTAAAAACCAAGGGTTTATATTTTTATGCTCTCACTAGTTTGCACTAATATAATGGACCAAGGCTGTTATCATAGGGAAATACAAACTTCCTGATAGGTAGTTCAATGCTTGATGATGATTGTAGTTATGCTTGTGATGTCTTGTGCTTCCTTTTTTTACTTAAAGACCTAATTCTTAAAGGGTTTAGAGCTTATATTTTACTTGAATAATGGATATTTTCCTATAAAATGGCTTATGAGAAGAGAATTAATATTTGACTAGTTAGAATTAATTAAAAGGTAAGGGAAAACAGGGTATGCTTAGATTAAATAATTTATGTAAATAGAGCTTATTTTCAACTAATATGACCGTAGGAGCCTTTTGAGATTCATGAGATTAGACAAGTAACGAAATTTTTAATAATTAACAAAGAACTTGAACAACACTTTTGGTACCGTAGCATTTTTGTTCCCTAAAGTATGTAACGATTTAGAAATGTGCCATATATACACTACAATATAACTGTATGCATTTTGTTTCTCTGGGGACATCTTTACACCACAGTGTACACGGATTTATAAACATTTGAAATCTTTTTTGAAACTTATTAATATGTATGAAGTCATAGACATTCTTTGAAAGAGTAAAAAATTCATCAAAAATCTGATTATGTACGGAATGTTCAATACAGCTTTGGTTTATAAAGATAAAAAGAAAATCTAAGGTTAACAGAATAGATTTCTTTGGAGGCAGATTGGTTTTCAAAACTCAAAATTAGTGGATGCAAAAGATGCAAAACTTCACAAAAGAATAAATTTCAAATTTTAAAAAACATATACCTAATTCCACTAACGATATTCTTGGGTATGACAATAGGTATCCATGAGACACTGTAACATGATTGTGATGAACTATGAAAATTTTTCTCCATAGAATTATATTCCTTCTGGTACCTGGTATTGTAAGTTAGACTCAATGACTTTTCTTTCCTTTCCTTACTCCTAGTTGTCCTATTCACTTTTCCTAAGATATTGCCTAAAACTCCAAGCTCAATAAATCTAATTGTGTAAAATAACTGAATTTAATGATATAATGAAGTTCTCCATTTCCAAACATCTCTTAATGATTTCAAAATTCATTATGCACCTGAGCCAAGACACAGCCTTTAAAACTAAAAATTTAAAATTTTCACAACTGTTTGAGCTTCTTTCAGGTCTAAAGGATTTGACATCTGTATCTTTTAATAAAAGTATCAAGTGAAATATAACTAGTTGAGAGTTCAATCATGGGCACATTGTATCTGTTTTATATACTCTTAACATTTAATTTACAACTACCCTTATATTGACCTTAAGAACTCCAATTCATGCAATGCAAACGAAGATATATTTTCAGAGAAATACAGAACTAGAATTTTTTCAGATCATTTCTTTTTTCTTTTATAATTACTCTATGACAATTTTTATGGGTAACTGATTATACATATTTATTTCATTGATTCTAAGATTTCTACCTTTTCAATTTGCATCTCTAAAACGGTGATTATATCTTGTAATCAATCATTGGCATCTTAGATGCAGTGTTTAAAGTTGTTCTTGAATAAATATTACACTAATTCATCTTTAAATGTTCATGGGGATAGGGGCATTCCTTTTCTTATAAATATTTGAGAACCCATTTATGGTATTTTGTGAAGCCAATTTTCAGTACAACTCATAATGGAGCCACTCTGATTATGAGCTCAGATCCTGCAGACCTTTAGGTTGTAAAAGACCCTTCATCTTCCTATTTATACTTTATGCTACTAGCTACAATTACAGCATACCTAACTTAACAAGAATGGGTTGCTTTCTTCCAATTTTTCTAACAAATTTTTAATCTCTCTAATCCTTTCTAAATGATACTTTCATATGATCATCTCAGTTTTAAACAGAATTAACTGGAAAATATATGAAACCATTGTAATTAGATTTTGTAGCATCTTGTATGTCTTATGTCAATGACAAAAGAAAAATATGATACAACCAATCAGTACTATAGGAAAAAAAAATCCCCTCACATCCTTCTACTATTGTATTCTTTTTTCTCATTTCTGTTCTTTGGTTTGATTTTTTCTTTGGCTCTGATAAATTTACCTTCAAGCCCATGTAATAACTGTCATGAAACTGCATATTTAAGTTATTTAAATTGTACAAAACAATTGTTCAGCTATCTGGGCAGCTGCTTATGAAACACCTGAGAGTAATAACACTACTCTTTTGTCTACCTGCATACTTTCCTGCATAAAATTTATCTTCATAAGCTAACTCTATAGTCATATTGCCAACCTCTATGGCCTACTTCGGTTAAAATTATTTAACCCAACGATAAAAAAAAAAAAAAAAAAAAAAAAAACCCTGCAGTTATCAAGGATGGAAAATGTGTGATTTGTGTAAAGAACACTTACTAACTTTACACTATACTACAGGTAAATGTGATTTAGATAAAAGAATTCTCCACAATGTAAAAATTTATGGTACATAAATGTTATTAAGAATGTTGAATATTAAATATTTTAATTCTAAATTGTAAGAAAATATAAATTTGCACATAATATAGAAATTGAGTTTGTGTATATTTAATATGACTTTAAAGACTATTTTAAAAAACTATTTTACATTTACCAGCTACTACTTCATTAAATTTTTTAAACCTCTGCAAAAAAAAATTAGAAATATTTTTAAATTATCAGTAATAAAAACTTGTTTCATTTAACAAATCCCACCTTTGTAAAAAATAATATAGAGTGTATTTTTAAATTAAAATGTTTGAATATAAAATAGCTCTTAAGAAAAACAAATTCTCATTAAACAAATTTCTTATTATTTCTGGCTTTAAATTATACATAAAGTTAAATTGCCTTAAATGACACAAAATTGGGGAATATGATAATTTCATAAAATATACTATGAAACTGTACATGTAATTCTGATTGACTACTAACTTCTGTTTTATGTATTTATTAAAGAGCTGACACTGTAGTTTGTTGTGAGATGTTTATTTTTCTAACAGAGCTTATAACAGTTATGACAAGGCATTTAATTAATGCATCATTCGGTTTAATATAGATATTAATCAATATGAAATTTTATGTTTTAAAATAAAAATGTAAAGATCTAAGAATGCACATAATGCTTCTTTGTTTACCATTGTGTGTTACATAACCCTCAGAGTTGCCAGACAAAAGCACATCCTCACATGAAGAAATGTAGTAACATTCATACATTGTCACTGGTAGAGGACATTGTGTAATTCCAAAAAGCTACTTCTAGAAAGTTGTAGAGCCAATGATACTGAAAGATCTATGGCCATCCAAATTTCTCTATTCTCTATTGATAGCCGTCTAACCAACAGTGGGAGCAGAAAGAATATTCAAATTACAAAGAACTGAAAAATTAGCTAAAAGATATCTGCAGGCTTTCTTTACCAGCCAGAGACTTCCACTGCCACCTTAATACAAATGTAACATGTTTATAAACGTCAATTATACATTCTTTTTAAGAAAATTTTTTATACTTTATTTTTGAGACAGAGACAGAACATGTGTGGGGGAGGGGCACAGAGAGAGGGAGACAGAGAATCTGAAACAGGCTCCGGGCTCTGAGCTGCCAGCACAGAACCCGATGCGGGGCTCGAACCCACGAGTGGTGAGATTGTGATCTGAGCTCAGACACTTAACCGACTGAGCCACGCAGGTGCTCTTCAATTATACATTCTTGAGAGCCATATTTAACAACTGAAATTTATGGAATACTCTTGTGTTGCGATTTTCCTCTGTTTAACTGAGGGGCTAGAGTAAAGCACATGAAGGGACAAGTTAAAAGTTAAATAAGATTGTAGACAGATTGTTTGTCATTAAGAAATTTTAATAGTTTGAGGGAAAATGTATGTGTATCACATCTCTAAGTAGAAATTGCGCTGGAAGAATCAGATGGAAGCTATGAGGAAGTCTCACAAGGACTTTATTTTTGAGAATTCATCCCAGTTGGATTTGGACTAGGCTTTCAGTCTCAGAATCATGATTTTGTTGTGTTGTTTGGCCTCATTTTTTCCCTCCCATCTTCAATAATAGGACCTGAGTTTCAGTAGAGCACACAGCTAAGACTTAACTACGTAGACAGACTCCTTTGTAGCTAAATGTGACTACAGGACTAAATGTTGCCAGTGAAATGTGCAACCTTGGATCTCACTTCTTCTTCCCCTCTTTTTATTGTCTGGAACAACTAGAGCAGCTGTCTTGGCAAAGGAAGCCCTATTTCCCTGACAGGAAACTTTCAGCCGTCAACTGCTCACCTCAAGACTGACACCTGGTGGGGAAACAATCTGTATAGCTAAACCACTGCATTTGATGTTATGGCAGATAATCTGCACTCTAACAATGTATTCTTTATATAATTGTTTCACTGAGTCTTCAGCAATACTAATACCACTTCCCTCAATTTTTCAAACAAGAAAAACAAGGCATAGAGATATTAAGGACCTTGTATAAATACACACAGCCAGCAACTTACCAAGGCAGAATTCATACCCTCATCTGTTTTACTCTCCATAAATAATTGATCATATGTTTTGTGAGGATAGATTTTACTAGTTTAACTAGTTTTACTAATTTAACTATGTCTCCATACCCCCCCCCCCAATGTTCAATAAATTAAGCTGGAGAGTTAATGTAGGTGCAAAAGTACTACACAGGGAGGAGTGAATGGACTTTAAAAATGAAAAAAAAAATTGCTAATGCACTCAGATGCTGGAGTTATACCAGAGACCAGAGCAGGTCCAAAGAGGAGAACATTTGGCATAGATTTTGAAGGAAAGGTGAGTGTGGACATGCAGAAAAGCAATGTTGGGAGAGTCAGGGGAATGGTAAAGCAGACAAGAGTGGGAATTCCATGTAAGAACATTGAAATCTTGTTGAGATACAGCATTAGATAATGAAAGGCAGTAACCTACATGTCCTAAGTTATGGAGAACTTGATTCCCAGGGTTAGAAGTTTGAATTTTGGCTAGGAAAAAGCCAAGCTCTAAAGCTTTAGAAAAGTGATGTTATTGAAATTATATATAGTTTGTCACATGCTTATATAAAATAAATATACTTTTAAAATTAAACATTAATATCATACTCTTTAATACTAAATTTCAATATTCAATTCTATTAAGGTTGAATCACTATGTTGTACACCTGAAACTAATGTAACATGTGTCAACTATACTCAGTTAAAAGTTTCTTTTTAAGTATTAAGTATTAATGCTATTAAATGCCTTTTATACCAAATTTAAATATTATTTATTACTAATTTAAAAAATGGAAGTATACAAAAGCAGAAAAAAAGTCAAAATCTAACTTCCTAATATCAATCACTTTCACATCTAGGCATATTTTTATTTTATGTTTCTCTCTACTTTATCACTCTTATTGTGCAGATAATGGATATTTATTAGAAAACATCCAAAAATACCTAGACACTACAACTTAAATAAATATTTCTCTAGTCTAACCACCCAGCATTAACCATTGCCATATATTTTCTAGACAGATATACCTGTTTATACCTAAGCTAGAAATATACTATGAATAGTCTAGTATAAAAATATTTTTATCAAAAACATTTCAAACATTTTCCAGGTCAAGACTGAAACAATCAATTTAATAGGTATATGTTATCCCATCCATATAAGTGCCATTATCTCTTATAGTCACCGAATAAAGAATGAACAGGATATAATACTAAGTGTAAAATATTGGTTAACAACATCAGTATTCAACAAGAGGAGATTGGTTAAATAGGTTGCTTTTGAATAGGAGAGATCTGCATATTTATAATGGCAGAGAAGAAGAAACAAATGTAGAGAGAAATATTTATGTTGGGAAGGTTTGGATTGGTCTAGGGTATAATAGGGAAGCATTTCAAACTGTGACAAAGAGGAGTGAGTGAAATGAGCTTAAAATGTTTTAAGAAGTAAAAATCTAGACAAAAGTCCAAAGGAAGCTGAATATGAGCTACTATTGCAAAGAATATTTGAGAGAATTTGGAGACTGGCTAGATAATCAGTGATAAGAAAAGAAGTTAGTGGAAGAGAAATCCAATGCCAACTCTGAAAGTCACTACAGATTTCTATCCAAATTGGATAAACCTTCCAATCTGGTCTCACAGACCACATTGTTCTTGCCAATCCATGACTTTTAGACTAAATTCTAACTTCATCAAAATATTTGGCCAGACAAAACTAAAGCTGTGAATTTTTAAACCATGTCAATGATCATGCTTTCAAAATGATCAAAATAGTCCTAACTGCAAGATAGGCAGGATCTCCTTTAAGCAGTTATTTATATATGAAAAATTTGATCAGAATTAGAAGTAATGGTAGGCTGCACAAGAAAAATAAATGATACCTTGGCTTTCAACTTGGCAGTCCTTTAGCTCTTATTTGGACTGTGCATTATTTAGTGCTTAGGACTGGTACTGTTTAGATTTCTCCCAGTGAATTGCTTTAAGCTTTAAACACTCCTCAGACTATAGTAGCGAAAGGAAAACTCTTTATTAGGCTTTTTCATATTCTGTGCTGTTTTTTCCATTGTTATGACTACAAACTACATTCTAACCATCATTAAGGTCATGAAAGATGATTATCCACATGAGAAAACCTTAATTTGACATTAGAAACAATTATTTTTTACATTTTCCTCTATTAAATTATAATCTATAGGTCCACGGTTCTCAAAGGGCAGTCACCAGACAAGCAGCATCAATGTCACACGAAAACTTAATAGAAACTCAGATTGTTGGTTTCCACCCTAAATATTCTGAACCAGAAACATGGAATGGGGCCCAATGATCTGTGTTTTAACATACTCTCTAAGTAATTCTAATGTGTGCCAAAGTTTGAGAACCATTTCCATAAAGAGTGAAAACTAGCATCAAGAGACCATAGCTATGGGTTATGCTTACTAATCAGTACCTGATAATCAATACTTAGTACAGACACTCAATAAGTAAGTGCTGAGAGAGTCAATGATGTTCTGTTTTCTCTGAGCTCTTGAGACATGTCCCTGAGAAAAACCTGTGCTCAAAATTCCCTGTCATTTGTTATAGTTAAAAATCAAAGTAATAAAACGATGGTCTGGCATGTTATTTTTAAAAATAAGGTTGACTTCAATTACTTTTTATAGGAAGTCTAACATATCCAGTGCTTGTAGAGGCCCACATTAAATATTTTTATTATCTATAGCCAGTTTTCATTTTTCTGGCACTGAAAACCTCTCCGTTTTTTCCAAAAGCTAAATGCATTTATATTTGTGCACATGCTAAACAGTGGAGGATCTCCATCATTACCCAAATTAATAGGGAAAATTCCTA